TGGGAGGAGGGTAGAGAGAATAGTGCAACAATGAATGAGTGGAAGCCCAAAATCTCTGTAAATGTTTATGAAAATTAATAAAATATAATTATCGAAAAAGAAAAATAAACAGTGGGCCTGGGCATTCGCCTTTCGTGATCAATGGGTGCAAGTGGGACACGCATGTAGATGGCAAGTGGGTGTTGTGTCACTGTGTGATACGTTACGTGGTCAGCACACATACTTGTGTAGACGTGTGTGTGTGTGTGTTGTACAGATATGAGATTCATGGAGTTTGGGACGCTAAGTTCTTAGAGATCCTTGCCCTCCGGGTGGTTCAATGCTATCTCCTTCAGCCTTTGCAACGACTGTCAAAGCCACCTGATAGGTGATTTGCGCACGCGCGACTCCACCATAAGGCTCCGCCCCCGCGGTCCCATGCCATCCTTCGCCCCGCCTCTGTCACACTTTACGGCCCTGTACGCCAGTTTTGGGGCAGTTGCTCCTGCCGCCGCCACCCGTGCTTCCGCGGCTGTCGCCGGTGAGGTGAACTGAGGTCAGGTGTGTTGTGTTGTTGGGCTGGTGCCGTCACAGCCGCCGCCGGCCGGAGGGAAAAAGAAAGGGGCCGGCGGGGGTGGCAGGTTAGCCGCTGCTTTGTCTTCTCAGCTCCGGTTCTGTCTGCGTTGCCGCAGGGAGGCCGCCCCGGCCCGGCGAGCCGAGCCAATGCTGGATCTGGAGGTGGTGCCGGAGCGCTCTCTGGGGAACGAGCAATGGGAATTCACACTGGGTGAGTGTGGGGTCTTCCTGTAGAACCCCATTCCCGGGGCCTTGCCTCCCCCCGATCCCTTCCGCGCTCTGATTTCTGCCTGGTACGTGCCTGCACCTTGCAGCTTCCGTCCACCCGACTCCTTGGGCTTTCGGAAACCAGGTACCCGAGCGCCGGTCATTTGCTCCAACCTGGGCCCTGATCGCTCCGCTTGGGGCTCTCGCAGAGCTGCTCCCTGGACGGTGGGACCCGAGCAAGAATAACAACACGCTGACACGCCCCAAACTCGATTCTGGTCACTCTAGATCGTAATTATGTCCAGAAAACCTTGGGCGTAGGTACTCTTACTACTTTATCCTTACCTACAGAGTATATAAAAGCTGAGAACCCTCTGGCGCCTGCTCTTTTGGATTTAGGTTGTCTCGCTTCAGAAGGGGCAGCCTGGGCTCTGAACCCATCATCACCTACCCATGGGGATCCGTCTACGCAGTGGGAGGGTTTTTGTTAAAAAATTTTCTGCCTTCTTCGTCTTTGATGTGTGAACCCGTGTAGTCCTTTTAAAATGCCAGGCTTGAGCGTTAAAGGTTCAGATGGTGGCAAGAAACAAGCTTTGACTAGTTTTGTCTTTTTTCTTTTTCTGAGTTGTTGACCCAGCTTTCTTCCTTCACCCCTCCCCAGCACCAACGTCACTACCCATGTGTACAAGACTGTTGGCACTCATTAACCCTGGGGTGTGTTTATTTGGATGTCCTGGCTTCGGGGAAGAGGGTAGGAACATGTGTGCTATTTGTTCAGGCCTGAACTGTCACTTCAGTGTTAGGCTGCTCAACTGAACATTCTGTGTACTATTGCGCTATGTGCATATAATTCATATTTGAACCCAGAAGACTTGTCCTTATAGAAGTGGTGCATACTGCTACTGATACCTTATCGATACTCCATGGACATACCTTTGTGGGTTTTAGAAGGTGATTTCATCCAGGAGGTCTTAGCCAGGTCCTTGCAAAATTTAACGACTCCTACAGAATTTCTCCCAAAATTTTAGCTAGTGTAGACAATATACCAACTTCTTGTAGAGCACTTAGCTTAGATGAGAAGCTGGAAATACCTTTGCTTCCAGGCCTATTAATCACATTGATGCTGTTTGGCTTCTAGTTAACATCATTCATTTCCTCCCTTTAGCAGCTTCTGCCCATGGCTGGACCTCACAGGGCAGGTCAGAAGCCACAAACATAACTTCAAACTGTGCTTGATGGTATGACTAAGTTGTGGATTTCACTGTGGTATAAACATTCAGAGTTCCTTGGCCAAAAATAGTGACTTGGATACAGTTGAGACCAGGGTTTCCAGAAAATTGGGTGGAAGCACACAGTTTTGTTTTGAAACCTTAACTCCCACTCCTGACTTAGTTTCCAGGAATCGTTCTTCAGTTAGAAAACCAGGCAGTACTCACCTCCTGTCTTTACAGACATCTAAAGCGAATGTTCTCTCTGTTTGCCAGGTGAAGTAACTCTGAAAAGTATGACATACAGATAGATGAACAAAGAGTGGACTCAGCGTCTCAAAATTTCTTTTTCATGATCTGTGCAAATGCAGCTGTATTTGACCCTTGCCACTAACTGCCCGGCGTCACAATGTTCAACTACATCCATCTTCTTGGCTGCCTTCCTGCCCTTTGTGTACTATTGGGAGATTAGAGAGATGCCAGCAACACAGGGAAAGGGAAGCTTGAAAGCCTCTTTGGATTCTGTTTACACATATTAAAATTTGAAAAGAAATGGTTTTATCTTAAAGAACTTAGTCTAACTGTTGTTGGGTTGACTGTGACACATAGCATAGTCTGATGAGAGAAAAGATTACAGAAGAGTTTTATTTTATCATCAAGCAGAGGTCAGGAAACGTGTGATGTTTAAGAGAGAGAGGACTGGCAGCTCTGGTGGGCTAGTGGCAAAAAGCTGGGCTGCAATCCTGAAGGCTCATGGTTCAAATCCACCAGATGCTCCTCTGGAGAAGGAGGGGCAATCTTCTGTATCAGTCAGATCCGATTCGAGAGCACAGAACAACAAAAAGGTGGGGGAGACTTAACCATGGTGGAGTGTTTGGTTTGTGTTTGGTTTTCTTTAATACCTGGGACTTTAAGGTTCCTGTCAACCCATGGTGGGCAGTAAGCACCAAGAGGACCCCACCAGCAGAAGGGTTTCATAAACATAAGACTTTTCATCAAGTTTTTGAAAAAAACAAAACAAAACATACAAACAACCAAAAAAAAACCTAGTGGGAAAGCTAGAGATGTGTACAGGGAATTTAAGCAAATTGATATTATAGCTAGAACATGATATTTCAACAGAAAAAGAAAATACAGGTTTTCCAGAGTCTCACTTCTGTGAGATAGTAACTGTTTAGGACTCTTGAGAAATCTCTGGATTGAGTAAAAGAGAATATGTCTTAGTAAAGTCTGTTGTAGGTATAGGTTTAGAAAGAGCAATTTAGAGACTATATTTGGTAAGATGGGGAAGGAAGAAGAATTTAAAAGTTTCTGTACCTTGAATAAGTGAATAGATGTTGGAAGTAATCTTTTATTTGCTTACAGATATATATACAGAAAATGGATTAAAGAATGAACTGGAAACTAGGTGGTTTTTAGAGGGATAGGCAGAAGAAATACAGCACTGTGGTAATGTTAGAAAGCAAGAGAGTAGTGTAGATGAAGACAATAGAGTAAGTTCTCAGAGGGACCATGTACAGGACCTGCATGCTCTACTTGTTTTGTCTTACTTGTTCAGTATTCAACAGATGTAGATCATTTTGTTGTGCCAAGCACAGGGATTGAGTACTTAGAGGATGGCAGTAAACAGTAAATTTTTAGGAGAGATTACAGACAGGAGAAGCTTCATCAGGTAAAACGGTCAGAAAAATGAGCCTTCTGGCTGAAGGATGAAGAGACACCAATGGTAAGAACATTTCATCAAGGCCAGATTTAGTGCAAAGACCTTAGATAGGGAAGAGCTTGTCATGTGCTAGAAATATAATGGGGGTTGGAGAGGAGGACTGGAGGGTGAGCACTGGAAAGAATAAGATCGAGCTGGAAAAGAACATGCAGGGCCTTTAGATGATGGTACCGTGTTTGTGTTTTATATGTATAGGTATCAGTGGTTCCCACCCCAGCCATCATTGCAGCAATTCCTTGTGCACTGATAAATACCAGGAAGTAGATGGCCCAAGTAACCACACAGATAACCTTGTTTTGTTTCAGGAATGCCTCTGGCTCAAGCAGTAGCCATTCTTCAGAAGCACTGTCGCATCATCAAAAATGTTCAGGTTCTCTACAGTGAGCAGGTGAGTTACAGGGGACTTGTTCACCAAAAATATCCCTTTACCTCCAGTAGTGATCCTCTGGAAGAGGCTCACTGAAGGAATTGTCAGGTCAGTGTGATTGAACCAGAAAATCTGTAGCACTGGTCATTTGCCAGGCACATTTTTTTAATTCTGAAACTTTCAGTTGTGATAATCCATTGCTGTCATGTTTGGAGGAACAATGATAACTAAGATAGAATTTTTTAAAAAAAATCTGTGTTCAATTTAGCTAGTAGCGCTTAGACAAGGACTTTTATTGGGAGGTTGTCTCTGGGCTGTTTCTGGTCTTCTAGGGCCCTAGCCTTTTACTTTTGTGTTAACATGGTTGTTTTTGCCTTCTCGATATTTAGATTTATGTTCCGGATTGTTGCACTGCATAGCTTTAGCTTGTAGAGAGCATCTAGATTTGAATAGTAGAATATGCTCACCTGTCTTTTAGCAGACTATGTCAGAAGATCTCCCCACTGAGAAAGATACAGTATTTGGAAATTGCAAGCTATTTATACCCAATTAATTTACATATTCTTTTACTCTCTCCCTCACTCCCTCTGATTTATAATAGTTTCCATTCAGTGTGTTGCTCAGTTGTGGCACTGACCTCCAGATTACAATGTGTGTGTACTCACAGATGACGTTTTCTGTAAACATCAGAATTTTTTCTTTCAGTTGTGTCTTAAAAACCTTTTTTATTGACTGTTAGACTTTAGGTTCTTATCTCTGAAAGAATAGACTCTCCTCCACTAAACTTTTGGAATCTGGAGTGTTGCCACACAGATCATGACAAATCATGTACTACCTTGTAGAGCATCTTTTTGTGTCCTATGTCATGTATATCACACTTCTTGGAATGGTTTTGAGCTTCAATGGCTATAGGATGTCCTTGATGTGTTTTCCAAGACGCTTTGACTAGTAGTTTGATAATTTCAGTTCTGTTTACTCCATCTAGTTTCAGATTCGTCAGATTCTAAAGAAAATTCAAGGATTTTTTTTTTACATGAAGCATGTTGTAGATGGTTAAGATTTTAATGGAGCAGTCTCAATTTTGCTTAGAGCAGAGTGACAGTTAAGCCTTTTTACATATGTCTTGAGGTTATCTTTTGTCTCATTGACTATCATTCCTATACTTGGGTACAAACTTACCCAAAATTCATTGCCCTCATGAGCTTTCGGTTTGGAGTTTATTCCCCCTGGTGAATTTTTGAGAGGCTATTAATCACAGGGGAAGAGATAATCTTCCTCTCTTGGAATGCTGGTAGATTCAAACCACCAGAAAGGTGCTACCTTTAGATTTGTAGCACACTTCCCTACAGACAGTTCCATCAGAACTTCCCTGGGTATAAACAGAGTTACATGAAGCTAGTTTTCTCCAATAGCATCTAAGCAACTAGAATTAGTTGGAAAACATGGGTTTTGAGTCCAGATTTTGGAACATATTCTCTTCGTGACTTGTAACAAATTATTTATCTGAATATCTTTTTGCAAAATGAGGATGGAGCCAAGCATCTTGCCACCTAGTTAATTCTTGTTCATGGGTTTGCGTTTTCTTATACTATAATATTTTAGTAATAATCAAGAAGAGATTAACTTAGAGCTCTAATGTGATGCTTCTTCCTTGTGTACCATCGAATTGGAACCGATTGGCACAGGATAATGTGATGCTTCTTAAATGTGAACTCTGTTGTTTTCTCATGCACTCTTCATTTCCTTTCCCATTGTTTTCAATCAAGTACCACAACTGTTTATCCCCCTTAAAAATTTCAGAACTACTTTCTTGTCTCTAGATAAATCACTCTTTGGAAAGTAAATGTGCATATTGGCTAAGTCCCTTCTTTCTTAAAGGGAAAAGATACTAACAGCTAGCTGCAGAAGACTTTGTTGAACTGTGCCATGTGGAAGGCAGCACAGTGCTGGGTTCCTGGAAGAGCTACTCAGACATACACCTATAGGCATATACATAGGACATGTATATTTTTGTTGTAGAGATAGGAAATATTAATAAGACTTTGTTTATAAGGGTGATTTGCTTGCTTTTGAAAATTGCTTAGTTATACTTTAAATTGTAACAATACCAGGGCAAAAAGAATCAGATCTTGAGAGAGTAGAAGAAACGCCTGATCCTTCCCAGCATCCTTCCTCTTATCAAAAAACCCTAAATGTCACATCATCCTGCTTGCTTACCTCCAGTGGACTGGCTCTCTCAGAAATGGAAATATTCTGAGTTGAGAATAAATGACTAAGGTCAGTGTTCATTGATCCATTATCTTATTGAGACCTAATGGTTTTAGACATTCAAGCAGACCTACTGGAGATTTCATACTTTTAGTTTTTGCCAGATAACGATGGTGCTACTTGGGCCTTATAAAGATCAGGAGGATAAAGGGAAACAGATATTTTAAGTTGTTCTCAGAAACATCTAGGGAATTTCTGCAGTGAGGCTCACAGTAGCACTCAAGTTGGCTTCTTGACATTCTGACCCCGTCTATGTCTCTGTCATTCATTCTCTCCAACTTGGGAAATAGTCTATAAAGAAACTTACCTAAACTCTAAGAAGCTATGTACCAGTTTTAATGTACATGAATGGTTTTCTTTTTTGCTGGTTTTTCTTATTTAAGTGAAGATTTACATGTAATACTGATTTTTTCATATAATCTATAGATAGACCTTTGTTTTATAGCATTAATATCTTTTGATTAATGTGGTTAATTTATTAAATATCTAATCAACTATTCATCATACATGGAAGGGTAAAGGGACAGAGAAAGAGAGGGAGACCATCAATGAGATGGATTGATACAGTGACTGGGCTAAGGAGGGTAGGTGTATCAGATACAGTAAGTTGGCACAAGATAGAGCAGGTTTCAGGGCTGTTGTACAACAAAAAAACTATGAAAGGGTTTAGTCTTAAATGGTGGTTTTGCTGCTGCTGCTGCTGCTGAACAGCTTGGTTCATGACTCTGGAACATCTTTAGACATTGAGTCCTTGAGTTGGTTAGATTGAACCAGAGGTGGGTTGGTTGGGCAGAGACAAGAGGAAAGAATGTTTGGTACTTGGTCTTGATTTGATGCTTTTTCACCTATCATCTCTGGGAGGAAAAGATTCTCTTCAAGAAACCAGACCTTAGCAACGTTTTCAAAGTCACCTAAGATCACTGGGGCTCAAGACCACTTGTTCTATGCTAAATCTCCCTCCCTCTAGGGTTTATGGAGGGGCAAAATATAAGAATATGATGCCAAAGATCTTAAGGAACTCTGGTGGCTTAGAGATGAGGAGCTGCACTGCCATCCCAAAGACATACAGTTCTCATCCACCAGCTGCTCCTGGGGGAAAAGATGAGCAATCTCCTCTCATGCGATTTACTGCCTTTGCAAACCCATCAGGTCAGCTAGAGTCACTTCTGACTGGGTGATAGTGGTTGTTGTTGTTGTTGTTGTTAAGTACCTACCGTCCAGTCACTTGGGACTCATAGTGACCCTGTGTACAATATCTCTGAACTCTGGTCTATCCTGAGCCAACGTCATTGTCTCCATCACACACCCACCCCCATGACCCCACTGAGTCAGTCCATCTGACTGGGTGATATATAACAACATTTTAAGATCTTAGACTTGGGCTTCCTGAAAGAAGGTTATAGTGAAATGGGGTCTAGGTAGGGCAGAGAGGAAGAATAAAGCATGGCATCTCATTCCATATACAATAAGATTGAAATCTGGCCGAGTCAGGAATAAAATGTCTTCTCCGAGTCAGGAATAAAATGTCTTCTCTGTAAAGGCACAAATAACCTGCATGTGAAATGGAGATTCAGCTAATGAAGCAAGCACCATCTCCTGAGTTTAGAGCCTAGGTTAGGCCCTTGCATGTGGCCTGCATTCCTTACTAACTGCTAGGTAAGTTTGTAAACCAACCTATACCATGTGTGTGGACCTTGGGGCCTCAAAAGACAATAACTTGTATGCGCATATAATTTTGGCCCATTCTGCCATGTAGCATTAGTCACAACTTGGAAGGGAAAACATACTTTTCAGTCAGTATTGTAAAGCAGCAGCTATATGATGGAAGTAGAGAACATTGCACATTGAGTGCACATTCTTTTCTCCTGGTTTCCAGTCCTTGTTTGTTGGGAGTGGAGGGGGGCTGCTTGCATTCTCAGATCTTTCCTCTTAGTTGTGGTTTGTTTTTTTTTTAAAGCTAAAGCAGCTTTATTAAGGGGGCTTCCAGGCAGGATTCCTTGGTCTGGAGAGAGAGACAGCCCAGAAGATAACCACGCCCTAAGGTGAATTGGGGAAGGTTATTTTGATAAAGGTCTTTTAGGAAGGGAAGGGAGGGCATTCCATTGTGGTTTAGCAAGGTGGGATATTCTTTGAATCCTTCATTCTCCTCTTTTGATGTTGGTCTGGGCCTGACATCCCAGCCTCTTTAGTGAGAAAAAGGGCGATGTATCTTTTCTAGCTACTTCCTGCTGAACAGGGGCGAAGCTCCGAGGCTGGATTGCAATGGCCCAGGACTAGTAGCCATGGGAGAATATGGATCTCACAGCAGGTGGTTCAAGTTGGTCATTTCTTTTATCCTGTGAAGTAAGAATTTTAAAAAGTCAGGGAGCGATTAGTAACAATATGAAGAGCTACTTAAGGCTTGGGATCAAAGTGAGGTGAAGAGTAGGGGGCTCACCATTTGAGAGGCGTAGGAGGTCTGCTCAGTGAGAAGGGCATGTTTGACCTGGGAAAGGTGATGTTAATGGGGTTTACCCATGACCTTAACTGCTGTGGGGGTAGTTAGGATGACTGTGTAAGGTCTGTCTTAGCACTGTTTAAGAGATTTGGGTGCACACCACTTGATGAGGATGGCATCTCGTGGGGTGCCTCCAGCTGTCTGGTCTAGACTTTTAGGTGAGGGACATCTGGTCATCTTTGAGTCTGTTGGCAGAAATTGTCAAGATCTCAAGGGTATTGAAATGGAAAGTTCCATTTTCAGGCTATAGAGAATTATTATCTTGTTGGTATTGCAGCAGTACTTGGTTACAGTAAAAGATTAGTCTGTTGGGGTGGAGGTCTTCAGTCAGGTCCAGATTTGAAAGATTCAAGAGGGGGCATCCCAAGGGACAGTCCCTTAGGGGTTTAGACATTTGGCCATCCATGATGTTCAGGTCCGTGGGTGGGGGCAGCCAAGATTTCATAGCGCCCTCTGAAGACCAGAAGCCTCAGATTCTGGGAAAGGCAAAGAGGTGGTGTGGGCGTCCCCTATCGCAATCAGTAGCCTGGAAGCGCCTGGTACTTGGGTGGGCTTCTAACGCAGGCCTGTGATTTTTGGAAATATTGGATATATGCATAGATAGGAGTCCAGTGCAGACAAACCTGAATCCCAGAGGAGTTCAAAATGTCTGGAGGCAAAATGCCTGGGCACTGTTCTGATCAGTGCCTGGGAAATTTTATGGGCAAAAGGGGCTTTCTGAAGGAGAGAGAGAAGTCAGAAAAGGAGTCTGAGAGTAGAGAGGCAGAAATCAGAAGAATAGGGGCAAAGAGTTCTCGATGGCAAGCCAGATAACTCCCAACAATGATCCTTCCAGAATAGAGGTAGCAGTGGACAGGAAGAATGAAGAGTTCAGGAAAAGTGATGACCAGACATAAACACAAAATGGATGGAAATAGACAACAGAGTGTCTGTCCCCTCAGTCCATGCAGGCATCCTTCTGGCCGTGCCCCTCACGGGATAAAAGTGTATCTTAGCAATAGGTGTGCCTATATCAAGCCCAGGCCTGGTTTGGGTCCCTATGGGATCCCCCAGATCACCAGTAAGCTGTATGACAACACCACAGAACTGCAGGTGGGGACCCATTCAAACTCCATGGCTTCAGAGTAGCGCCAGCCATGGAGCCTCTTTACAAGCACTCAAAGCATTCAGTCAGCAGACACATGTAAAACAGAAGAAGAGGAGAGAAAGGGGACCATTTCTGTCATGTTACTGTTCAACATCTTGACACTATGTGAACTGGTAGGTTCAAGAGAGAGAGTGAAGGGTGCCTTACTCTCCCCCAAAAGGGAGCAGGGGAGCATCACACCAACTCCTCTCCCAGGTTTTGGCACCAGCATGCTAGGTCTTCACACTTAATGTAAGGCCAAGAACCCAAGGAAGGGACCAGAGAAAGAAAGCAAGCTAAAGCAGCTTTATTAAGGGAGTTCCCAGGTGGGATTCCTTAGTCTGCAGAGAGATATAGACCAGGGGAAAACCGCCTAGCTGTATTTACGTTGTAAAACTTCTCAGTAGATATTTTGGGAATAAATTACTTGTTTATATGTATTTTATTTCTGTCTTTTGTTTTGCAGTCTCCTCTAAGCCATGACCTCATCCTTAACCTGACTCAGGACGGGATCAAACTACTGTTTGATGCTTTCAATCAGAGACTTAAGGTAACTATAAATAACAACTGACATTTCATGTCAGGTTGAAAGAGTCTTTCTGTAGCAAATTAACATGGATGTGAACCTTTTTGGTGTTGCGACCACCACAATGCAAAGTTTCTCATGGGCAGCCTTACTTACTTCAAGCATATTTTCAAGAAGAACTAGAGAGACATCATGCTGGAAAAAGTAGAGGGTCCGTGAAGGAGAGGAAGACCCTCAACAAGATCAATTAACACAGTGTCTACTACAGTGGGCTGGAGCAAGGCAAAAATCATGACGATAGTGCAGGATAGGGCAAGGGTCATAGGACACCATGAACCAATTTGATGGCACCTAACAACACAATGCAGAGGACTAAAGCTGTGAATGTCCCCCTGAAATAGGGATGTTGTTGAGCTGAAAGTGGAAAGGGATAGAATAGCTTCAAAGAGATTGGGAAGGAGTTAGGTCTAGATTCCAAAAATTGAGGGGAAAGTGTTTTGGTCATTTTGAGAATGTGCTTTGAAGAGAATGTGCTTTTATATTGATTGAGAAAACGAGAGGGGCTAAGAATAGGGGTCACTAAGTGTTGAAACAACTACTGAAAGTGACTGTAACATCAGAATACCAAATGACATTAATCAGGCCTGGGTATTTTGCTTTATTTCATTTTTTGTCACATATTCTGACCTGGAAAGATAGAAAATGAGAACTGTCCTTAAAATGTTGGGCCCTGGGAGTTAGCACCCCCAGGGTTGAGCTTTAACCTACTTGCAGAAATGTAAACAAACAGCTTCCTGATGTGTAGGCTTGTCTTCTTTTTTCTTCTTCTTTTTTTTTTAAATAGGCTTGTCTTAATTGGCATTCAGGGCAATTTGCCAGCACATGTTTCCGTCCAGGATGTTTTTAATATACCCTGTTTACAAATGCCTGTGTCTCACAGGTTAGTCATAGGACACTAGACTCAAGAGTCACAAGGTTGACTGTAGGCTCTAGGTAGTGGCATGTGTGAGCAATCACTTTGGTTAGGTTATAGAATAGCCTTATCCCAAAGACTGCGGTACCACCCAGGTATCGTCTCATCAGCAGTCAGTTTCTGAAGAGAATGTAAAACATGGAAAGAATCTGTACATAGAAGGAGAGCTGCCATTTAAGAAGGAGTCCGGTATAAATATCCTTAGCCCTTACAACTCCATTCTTAGCTTCTCCTTATGGACTCAATGATCTTCTCTGTACTGGCTAGAAGTTTCATACTGGGAAAGGGTAGAAAATGCCTCTCAGTGTGATTTAATCACAGATTTGGGGAAAGTTAAGCACAGAGGAGATTGAGGATAGGGTAGGATTGAGCTGTTGTACATAAAAGCACTGTGAGTCTAAGTTGACTAGCAACAGTCTGAGGGTCTGGTGGCCTAGTGCTAATGAATTACACTGCCAACCCAAAGGCACATGGTTCAAATCCACCAGCTGCTGTAAGAGAAAAAGATGACCAGTCTCCTCCCAGGTGATTTACAGCCTCTGAAAACCCACTGGAAGGTCAGCTATAATTTGGTTCTGATTCAATGATACATAAAAACAACAGTATGGTAGCACAGAAATGCCTTTACAGGTGGCCATTTGCTGTTACTCAGTAGACTTACTTTAGAAAACAAGCTTAAATAGATTGGAAGACAGGTAATGTTAACAGGTAAAGTACATTGCAGAACTTTGTGTAATAAAATACTGGAAGTAACTGCCCAAAAAGACAACAAAAGAGGCTGGTTAGGCAACCCACACACAGAATGGCAGCCTGATGAGGACAGTAGCAGAAGGTTCTCACTGTCTCACTCCCTTTGAGTCAGAACCAACTCACAGCTGCCCCACCAGCAGATTTCCAAAGCTGTACTTGTGCAAGAAGAGATTGATTACCCATCTTTTTGTCATGGATTCAGATAACCAAAGAGGCACAGTGTTTGGTTGACAGCATAAATCCCTGCAGACTATACTACCAAAACCCCAGCAGGTGTTTAGTGAACACTTGGTGGGCACATGACTGCGTGCTTTACATCATACATTTCCTATTTTATCTTAGTAAGCCAGGTGAGCAGGAACATTTCCAATTTACCTGTGAGGCAACTGAGGGAAAAAGAAGCTAAGTGATTTTTCTGACATTATATTCTTAACTATATGGTATTATTGGATAGTGAACAACCACTAAAAATGGAGATAACTTGAGTTCTGTTGATGGGCATAGAAAAATAAGTGAAGAGCACTTAGGATAACAGAATGAACAAAAATTCAAACATTGACTTAAAACTTGTTAGTCAAATTTGTGTCTTCTAGGTTGCAACACCCCCATGATACATCTTCAAGGATATGAACATGTACGGCCAAGCACAATCA